TGAATGTCAGCAGGAAATTAGGTCCGAGGTTTTATAGTAGATAGTTAGTGGTTGGCGTAATGAACGAAACATTTGTACAATCATTACAGCATCGATGGAGATGAAATTAATGAACACATCATCAGAATAGGAAAGATCGGGTCCAATGCAAAATGAGAATAGCTCACTCGCTCTCCCGGCAAGATTAAACGTAACTTACAGCAAGTTTTTGCATATTTTTCATTTTATCTCCCTGCTTTTGACTACGAAACAAAAGCTCATTTTTGAAGTTACGGTAGTTCGGAACTATTGGTGCATGCTCGAAATGGTTTATAAGGTTTTTTCGATAGAAGACGGAAGGCGTCTCGGTGAGAAACTTTTCCAAATAACTCCGGGAAATAATGAAGGCGATCAAAATTATTAGGAAACCTGGGTTTAAACAAGGCGTTTACAAACTTAGTATGAAACCATAGTCGATCACTTGTGTTTGGACGTTTGGTTATCGGCACATACAATAGATACACGTGACTGGTCTCATGAAGCACACTCCGTGAGACTAAACCGGCTACTGAGCTAGTCATGAAGCACCGTTCGCAGTCTAGTTCATGAGTTCAAATAAGGGGCGCAGGCAATATTTGCACTTTTATGTCATGTCTCGGGTGGCAAGCCAAAACGAATGGCGAGTCATGAAGTGAGGTGGGGTTCGGGTCAAGACAGGATGAACTACAGTTGCGACTAATTACATGGATGTAGAGGCCTCTCATTTGGGCAAATTGTGACGGTCTGGATAGCTGGTAAATTTGCATTGAACGTGCTCGATTTCAAACCTAGCGTTGAACCTAGACCTAAAAGTGAGTCAAAATATTCACTCCTACAACTAATTGTGCCGCGCCATTTGTCTCTTATTTCATCTGGACAGTTTAAAGTACAAACATCTGAGATCTGCCGGCAACTATATTGTACCCATTTCAAACAGCCGTAAAGCAGACTACTTCAGCCATTGTCTGCAAAGGATTTGTTCAATCTGTTATTGCATAAACTTTTATGCTGGGATGGGGTTCCGATAAATGGCTATATCCTGGTGGACACATGTTATCTTGTTTGTTCACTCGAATTCCCACTTGGCGCATGTAAATCAGATATAGTTATCAGTCGTCTATTTGGTGTCAGCTAACTTTCACACATTCAACCCCCACAGAATGCGCCCACATGATATGTTACTGACGTCATCCCAAAGATCCGCGTATCACTAGTGTAATTCCACACCTTTTAGCAACCCAGCCGTCTGAAAAGTGTCCCTTGTCCTCGAATAACACTGAATAACACTGAATAACACTGATAACACTGAATAACACTGATAACACTGATAACACTGATCTGATGTCCAGTAAGGGAGAGTTCGACAGAATCTCTAATGAATTGTATGTAGCTGATGTGAAATAATGCTTTGGGTTAAATTTTATGTTCTTCTAGATCAGTCCTAGTTTCGGATGGGCGTGGAAATCAATGTGCTGCGGTAAAATTAACATAATTATATTTTTTTCATTTTTGGTCGAACTGTTGACTATAACTTCTTCCACTTGACTGTGTTCACAGCTCCCTCAAAAAGAGTTATTGACTCCATCTAAGGTTCATCTGCCGTCTTTGAACACAAACTGTCCACCTAATTTCCAGGATGAATATCGAATAATTGGTGAATCTGAATTGCGACATAAAAAGAAGACAGCTTCTGAATGATGTGGGGTTTCGTACACTCCAATCGACTGCAATCGCGTTACAGGCAAAATGCGGATGGACGTAACATGCCATCAGAAATAAAAAATTCGGAAATGAGGAGGAACTGGGTTGATTGACATTGTTGGATATACCAAGGGGTCCAAGATATGCACAATGTTACGGGACTACCATTTTGAACGCACAGACCCGCCCTTTGTCTTGCGACGATTATGGCTACCAGAATCACATTTAATTTAAATTTAGAATTTATTCTTGCAAATTTGAGCTTCGTCAGAGAGCTGAGTTCTAAAACGGTTGCAAACGAATACTTGGTCCATACGTAACTTTCCATGAATCAGAAAAATGGTTCAATAGGAGACTTGTAGGTCTCATTTACCAGATGTTCGCTTAGCTGATGCATCAAACTTGTGACCTTACACAAGCTCACATAGAGCTTTGTGGGAATTAAAGCGAAATCTTAACATTGTTGTGCCAAAATTCGATAAGGCTCTTGATGTTGTGATTCTGAACAAAAAGGGAAATACCGCCGAAATGCAGCATATCATGTCGGATACCAAAAAATTAAGTCAAACGCTTAGGTGAATAAGTTGTTACTGGTAAGTAACCAGGTAGTTAGTGAGTTCCGATTTTGAAAACTTTGTGGATTTAATTCGGCCTGACAAGATCACCGTTAAAACCCTGCCAGTGTGATGAAAAAAGATAGAATGTCATGTCAAAATCAAATGAATGATGGACAAACGGGAGTGCATATAAAGGCTTTTTCCTTACATCTGACGTTTACAAGCAAATCGTTGATGTGCCATCATAGCAACGGGACAAAATTCGTGGATTTGTTCATTGTCTCCGCATGACTCCCGTACAACCAAATAGGAATTTCATCATACGCAGGACCTATTAATTTACCAGGGTTTGGAAGTGAACAACTACTGTGTGAAAATCCCACAAATATCCGTCCTTTCTGATTGCAGACATCCAAACTCGCATGGTGATTGTCAGTCGTTGTTCTTCTTCTAGGCCATATGCCATTTACGGATAGGTGCGTTTCCTGACGGATAAACCACTTTCAGAAACTGTCTGATTTGCTCTCCATGATACATATTACATCCCTTATTTAGATTACGTGTAAATGAACGTGCGTGTGTGTAACATATGATCGAATGGTAGGAAAAGCTATTGTCTTTCCGTATGAACCATGAATGCGCTGGCGATGTATATAGTAGGAAACCGAAACCGAAACATTATGCACTTATTCTTATGAGCCAAACGCATTATTCCAAATTCGTAACAGTTAAAGAAATTCGGGAAATATTCAGGTTGTTACTCACTCTCTTCGCCTAACAGCCGTAGGATGAATTCCAAAACTCACCTTTTTCTCTGGGAAAACATGCATTGCTCATGAAAGCTCCAGTGAGCAGAAATAGAAATAATTGGTGACGCGACATATGCTCCCAGTTAATGTTCAGTTTCCACTCACTTACCCCAGAAAATACTATCCAACTCGAAACTGCGAACCATGTGTTTTGCTTCATTGTGTGACCACAGGTGCAGCAGATCCTTGTGAGCCAATTGGGACAGTGTTCACATGCTGGCATTTTGCAGAACTGTTATGAGGTCTATCTGACAATCACTGTGCAGCGTTCTCCAATGAACATTTAGTACTTTCACACCGAAACTCAAAGCTCTGTGCATCCACTGGTTCATGTGATCTATTTTTATGTTTGCCATCATTAGTGACAATATTCCAGTGGCAACTACAAGTTCCCGAGCTCTGTCGAACAATCATTGAAGAACGACCAAACATTGAGTGGAACGAAGAATGGGCTGTAAAAGTCTGTACGCCGTCGTCGTATGCTCGTGGGAGATACAACGAACGATAGTATCAATGAAGTCCAACGATAATTTAATTAGTCGCATCTGAGCACTAGTTTAGACTGGTAGAAATCATGAACATCCAGCTTGTATTCTCATGTGGCCAATGCCACATAAGCATTTCACAAGATGATCTGAGATCCTGGCCCATAAGAAACAGTTTACTCACAACTTGGAGCGATTGCATGCGATTTTCTATAAACTGCAGTTACAAATACTTGTAACTGTAATAAAACTTCACAAAAAACTTTCAATGGATTTAAAAAAGCCATTTTTATTGAAGGTTTTGTTTAGCAAGTGAAGCCAAGTAAANCTGTTTCAAATACTTGTAACTGTAATAAAACTTCACAAAAAACTTTCAATGGATTTAAAAAAGCCATTTTTATTGAAGGTTTTGTTTAGCAAGTGAAGCCAAGTAAAGCATTTTACAGCTACTTAATTCATAGTGGAAAACGTCAGTGGTGCATTCTTCACGAAATATCAGTGAATAGTGATGAAAACAAGGCCTATCGCCCACCAATTCGAAAAGCCATTTGACCGGCGACAATCGACTTAATTCTGTAATCACCTCTTAAGCAGATAGGATAAGTGCGGTTAACAAGAGTCACAATATCCTGACGAAGTGCAAGATAACCAAACCGTTGATTATCGCTGCTGCTGAAACGGTAAAATGTTTGACGGGAGAACATGGGTTCGAATTCTTTCCCCACCCCTGGAGATTTAGGCTGATGAGTCCCAACAAGGATGAAGCTGCCCTGCCATGCTTCCGAAATTTGCAGAGTAGGTAGATTAACGTCACTTCTAGAAAGGGGCTCATGAAAATTGCCAAATGTACTAACAAACCACAAATTTAGAAGTGACTCAGAGGGAAGATGCTTTGACGAGATGATTGAGGCTTTATCTAACAAGTCATCACTCAAAGATCCTGTCAATAGGTATGATTGCGTAATGCGGACCCCGCGGCCAAAGCATGTTGGGTGCTACATCCTATTTAACTGGTCAGGTTCTCGTGCCCCGACGGTTGAATTTTCAACCTGCTAGGCCGGATTCCATGAATGTCGTGAGCAGTGGTGATAATTCCAAGTAATAACGAAAGTACTGTTTAATGGTTATCAGCTTTTTACTTACATGACGACCATATTTACTGAGAAATCATGTGTAGTCAGGTGACTTCCCTGATATTAACGCAAATTTATTTGTGCTTCGTTAGTGCCATGCTTATGGCCGCTGGTTTCTCTATCTCAGCAGGTAGGTATACACATACCCGACTACTTTCTGCTCCGCTAATCTTGAACAACAGGCTCCGCTTGCTGAATAAAAATTCAGATTTCTGGTCGTTCTAACCCTGATTTTCCGTCTGTTTTAATTCGCCAAAATCTTTGAAAAACTTACCCGCCAAACGAGTTGATGATCGCAAGAACTGAACTGCATCTCGTCTGAGGTCCTCGTTTTTGAATTTTTTCCACACGGAGGCCACTTCCTTTTTTGATAAGATTAGTCCTGCATTTCGTGACGAAATCTCTTGTCAGCTCGTTTTTCACTTCGGATTTTTAGCTCCAACGAGCGACTCTAGTCATTACGCTTAAGCCAATTTTGTTATTGAAATGGGATTCAGCTGAATACCAGTTGTATATCACGTTCCCTAATTTCTTCTTCGAATCTGAAAACAAGGCTGTTGGAAATTCAGAGGGATGACCTATCTGATGCGTAACGCATGAGATACAGACAAGGAAGAGGAAATCTGAGAAAGTGGAGTGTAGTGAGCGAGTGGAACGGTTGTACGTAAGTCTCTTCATACGTCAATCCATAATTATTAACTTCGAAGGTAAATTGCCAACAGAAGTTCGAGTACCAAAAGGCGTGTTTTAACACGAAAATATCCGATAAGTGCATATTTTGAGGTACCACTCAGCCTTGGGTCAAGATTAGGCCAGACCTCGCTATTTAAATGAAGGAGATAGGTCCTTAAACCTCAGTACGTGACGAAATTGGGCCGTTTCAATTGGGCATTTCATGTCCAAAGTTTCTGATGTCGGTCAACCTTTTCCCAATAGTTAATTCTTCTCTGTTCCATGTGAAGTACAGCCGGGCTCATTGCCTGCTGTATCCAGTTACCTCTTTCTTGTAATGTTTCATTGCATTGTTGCGCTGGTTCAATCACAATCCAAGCTCATCAGGCAGGAAAGGGGATAGATTCACAGCTGGTTATGAAACAATTTGGGAATAATAGGAAGAGGTAGACGCTGTCTCGAAGTCAGCATGGGTGGAAAGGCGTCCCAATGGCCATAAATATCTTCCAGCTATTGTTGCTCAGTAGTTTAATAGTCAGTCGTTGCAAATAGTTCCTGACTTAGTTATGCTTGAAACATGGTCATTGGTTAGTTGGGAATTCCTTGGCGCCCAATGTTTTTCGTAGTCTGGTTTTTCACTATTTTGCTTACTATGTTTGCTAGTTGGTTTGACTTGACTTACTAATTTGAACTTTATTCCACTTGAACGTGTATCCATTCTTGATATGCATGAACGGAGACTAAATTGAGCTGAACGTCAACTGATCGCTAGATTGTGTCCATATAATCTGGCAGATGGCTCGCCGTCTGGCTTTTCTACACAACCCTAACTTCCAGCTTCCAGTATGAAAGAACTGCGGACTGGGGTGTCCGGAGGTCGCGTACATGTTCCTAGGGTTAAATCCTGTTGCATGTCCTACATTACTGTGTCAACTAAAGTTGAATCCATCAACATTTTGCATTTTAAGGGATCCTGGGACGTTCGCTTGCCTGTCTTACGACATAATAGTTAATCATATTTATTTTTGTTTTGATCTCGTAGTTCCCTAGGTTGATGAATCTTGTAGAAATATAGCTGGTGTTCCTACAAGTTAAGCGGACTCAGGACTATTTCTCGGCTTAAACAATACCATATGTAACGGTACACTAGATTTCCTAGCATGAAACTTACAACATGTATACCAAAGCCTGCCAGGACCGAACATAATTGCAACGGTGAAAATGGACGGGCTGTTCAGCTAACGAAGCAGCAGTCTCCCAGCGCCTGGACAACTGGAAGCAGCTAAATCAACAAATTAATTACCTCTGACCATGAAAACTGACCCATTTTGAATGCTAATGAGGCTAAAATCGCGCAGCATAATGTTATCTGCACACGCTGCTTTTTGTAACCAATAATTTCGTCTTTGACTTTGGTTTGTTTTCTGAATCCAGCGAGTTATATTTCTTATCTGTAACGTCTGTGTCATCTAAGGAAGCATACAAGTAGATAACAATAGGGCTTATATTCTACCCAGGCTTCGGTGAGTGTGTAGAGCGTATATGGTAGATATTGCAATCCATCCTTCAAAGTGGGGAGTATGAGTGAACAAGTTCTTCTGGAGGGATATCCGGAACACAAGTTTAGTTTATTCGTTACTTTAACATCCTGATGAGAGTGGTTTTATATTCTATTAAACAAATGCTACAAAAGTTAAGGTACTGTCCAGTTCAAATGGGTTTTCAATAGATAGAGCTCTGTTTTGGCACACCAGTGAAAAATATCATTGAAGCGTGTAAACAACCTAGTCTCTTTTCGAGTTCTTCATATTCACAAGTTAACTTCACGTTCTAACGGAATGAGTGGAAAATCTCCAAAGAGAGTCCCGGAAAATAACGCAACATAGAGTTACCATGGTCTTCAGATAGATGCTGAATTTGCTGTCTTATTCTGTCATGAAAATATGTTCAATATTCGCTCAAGGAGACCTTCCATAAACGCTCCACCAACCGTTCTTTGCCAGTGTTCTAGGATTTCAACGTAAATCGGATGAAAACGCAAGAGACTGCCATGTGGTCCATAGTCAATAGCCTCAATAACTCAAAGAGCAGGTGAGATTCTGTGAAAGATTTCAGCCCATAATACAAGAAATAAACTAAAATATATCTTGTAGAATGTGTTTGACCAGGTGCAACCTTATTATGTTGGTGGCAGAGGGGTTAGAAGTATACATAAAACGGTGTGATTAGGCGTGTTTGGTCCGTGAGATATCGGTAGCCCATGAGGTGATGCCTTATCAATCACGGTGAACGAAAGAAGACTTTCGCTGTGGAGTTATTTATTGTAACACACAAACACACAAAAGCAGTTCCACAAATTCCGTAATGAATCTCGCTTTTCAGTATTCGCGAAGCGAGTTTACTAGAAAACTATATACTACATGCATGCCTCATCACCAATATCCACCGCTACACATCTTCACCCTTCAAAAGTCATTCGAAGACCACCGATTTTCATTTACCTCCGCTGAGTCGACTCCAGCAGCTGGTCTATTAGGCATATCTTCAGCTGAGTAATGCCACTACCAAAGCTCAGTCCCATTTACTCTTTTCGATCCCTGACCGTCTTGAATTGTATAGACGTTCTTCCGGCGGTCGGTAACAACAAACGGATCTTGCCAACGACTGCCCAGCTTCTGAGACACCAGTTCACTGAGTACAGGATTCTGATGATCCTTCCACCTGACCTTTCTACTTGCCGTTTTCTGCTTAGTCCTGTCCTGAGTGGTGGTCAGGTTATCTCGAGTTTTCCTACTTTCTTCCTCTAGCTCCTCTGGAGACAAGCGTGTTCTCGGCCACAACCCAATTTTATGGTAAACCGGAAAGCGCGG